ATAAGAGCACTAATAAATTCAGCATACAGCATATTTGTGGTTTTTTTTCTAAATTATTTCTCCTTTTTCTTAATTTCTGTTTATATGTTTTAGAAATAAAAAATAACAAATTATAATATAGTTATAATTATGTTATAAATAGTACGGCCTACTACAATTACAACAAATAAACGTTATACGTGAAAGAAGTAGCCGGTAATACAGTGGGTGAGAGTTAAATAATAAAATAGTTACGATCGAAGTGAATAAAATTATCTGGAAAATTCCCATAGTTAAAGTGGCTGACGGGGAAAAATTAAAACTGCTAAAAGTGTTAGACTCCCGCAAACATTATCGTGCGCATTCAGAACATGGAATTTGTGCGAATATCCCGTACTACCGCAAAATAAATCGCATTCGTGGACGGTTAAATCCAGTAACTTATTAGAGAAACCCAGATTTACCATAATCGGGTTTCAAACGGATCGGAAAAATAAGCTGAACAACCTGTTCGCCTTGTTCGATCACTGCAGTCTGAGAAATACTAAAGTCTATCTGAACTCTAAGTGTATCCGTATGAAAATTTGCGTGCAGATTTACAACGAAATCAATGTCTTTATTGTATAAAGCGTATACCGATTTCCAAAAATCGTACTACGATAGAAGCACCCCTTCACCACTGCTGCCGAGAAAAAAAATTTCAAGACTTCACGCCCATCACTGTTATAGATTTATCACACCAGAATGATAATGTGAAATCGGCGACGGTGGAATTACGTGTAGAGTTCGAGATCACCGTGGATGTACTGGCCAAGACTTCAGCGTACCGCCTGATTTTACACGATCAAGTTATAACCTACAATCCGTTTAGCGGACAAGTTCGGAAATTGTAATTTATTTGTTATTTGTTATTTATTTAGTAATTTATTATTTTCTTTTATGATGATACCTATTTCTTAATAAACTTATTATTATAAATAATATGTAAATAATTGATATTTGATGAATAAAGTGGACAAAGTATGTTTTTAAAATATAAATGCGTTTATTTTTATATCACGTCATACATAATGATACGATACAGACACACACACACACACAGGTATTTCATAATTATTATTTCGGTATCCAAAACATTTCCGATACCGCGGTATCGAAATCCATAACCGCCGATGCCGATTGATAACGATCGAAAAAATCAGGCCCGTCGTTGACGTCAACTACTGCGGCTTTGCTCCAACTAGACGAGTCCATCGATGGTGAGTAACACGGTAGGGATGGTGGTGATTAATGTGGAGGTGTCATCGCGGAATATCCGGCTAAGTGCAGGGCATGCGGGTCCTCGCTGTTCTTAGCACTGATTACTAACGATGCCTCCGCTAATGATATCCGATCGTCATTGCGTTCGTCACATCGCTAAATAACAGAAACATAACAATACATTTAACGATTTATTAGATTTTCAATATTTTATATTTTCACTTTTACCTTAGTCGATATCCCTCTACTCTCCCTCCTTCTCTTCCTCAGTGAATCACACTGTGTTGCCAATTGAGCGGCCGCATTAGGGTGGTCCTTAAATTTGAAGTTCAAAAATGTATACATTTCACCCCCTAAAACAGTGTATATACGTACAATAATTAACCATACAAAATATGGGATCAGTCGGATAAAGTTAACCTATGCCTATTTGAACTTAAAGTTTGAACTTTTAAATTTTTTCAAAATATTTGTTCTTGTGTCCTAAATCGTAAGTCAAATTGAAATTTATTATTGAAACTAAATTAAATTAAACTACATTTGTGACAATTTTTGTTCTATAATTATTTTAATATCTTCAACTGCTGATGAGATTTATTAACTTTAGTGTTTAAGAAACCGTATTTTCGATATTTTTCAATATTATAACGTATATGAATATTACAATTTGTATTTTTTACTCATTTATAACATTGTCTTTAATTTTTTCATATATACAAAAGCTATTTGTATAAATAAAAACAAGTTATATGGGTATTATTTGTATGAATTCTTATCGTATTGCTGATAGTTGTCGTAAATAATAACATAAATTCTTTAGTCTAGAGATTAGTTTGTGATCAGCCGTCAGACATCACCCGATTTTAATAGTGTTTTTATTAAATTGTTTTCCCTGAAATATTGTCGTGAATTTATAATATGATGTGTTCGAAAATAAAAAATAATGTGTATTTATTGGGTAACAAATGCAATCAGATTATTGGTGGTAAATTACCGCCCATTAAACAGGCATTATTAGTTTTTTTTCTACAATTTACGAGTTGTTAAATTAAACATACGTGAAAGTGCTCGTCTCGCTATACGTGATATAATAATATTTTGGGAAAAAGCAAGAATTCCTGTACAAGGAATTCAGCATTGTATATCTAAGCTTGAAAAATTATATCATAAATGGAGAACAGTTCAAAAAAATTCAACAAAAAGAACTGAATGTCAAATTAAAAAAGAAGTCGTGTTCACCTAAAAATCGAACGATTTATTTGACATTGCTCATACGAACGCATTAAATATGATAAGTAATCATTTTAACTATGAAACATTAATATTTTGTTTAAAAATGTTTAAAAAATTATTTGTTATTTTTAAACCGCGGATTATATGCAGTGAAAATACTCTATTATATGCATGCAAATATGCAGCATAAAATACAGAAATATGCATGGACTATGTTAAAATATGCACTAAGAATTAAATTTAAGAACAATATGAAAAAATTATGATGATGAAATTTATTAAAAAAAAAAATTATTATAATTTATAATTAGTAATTATTATTATTTATTATATTATATATATGTAAATTTAATTAGAACTGTAGTTCTCGTAGCAGTATATTACTAAATGTTGCTCCAAGTGGTCTATTGTAAAACTATGGCGCTTGTCATCCAAAATAAGTTTAAATGCAGAAAATGACATCACAGGACGTCACAGGACAGTAGAAGTATCGACAAAAAATGCGGTGATACTGTCGTTTATAAATCGAGCTATAGTTGAATGGTTGACTTTTTCAAGTGCTTTAGAAGCAATGAGATATGCTGGAGAAGGTTCTAGGGATAATTTTCCAATAAATAAATTCGCGATATAACGCCCACACGAATCTGTAGTCTCATCTGCCGAAATCCAAATTAGGTTTTTTCCAATTTCATTTTTAATTTTTTCCAAGATATTTCTATAAACGTCTATAATGTAATTTTTTCTTAAAGTAGATTCATCGGGTATGTTTTGATTCGTACAATATTTTTTCAGAAAACTACGGAATTTCGGATTACTTAGTTTTTTCAAAGGAATGTTACTCGCTATTAATGCCTCGCATAAATCATTGTTGAAATTATCCTTGCGTGTTATACTGTTAATACGAGGCTGTGATATAAGCGCCTGGCTACCAGAAGTATGGGTTGTCTTACTTTTTTTTTTCAGATGCTGCTATATGAGTTGCTGTTCGTATGTGCTGGACAATTTGAAACTTCTTTGAACACGGCACTTTTTTTTCACATATCTGGCAGTACATAACCATTCCGTCAGTAGTAAACGTCCCTGGATATTCATTTATCCAAACATGAATACGCGTATTTTTAATAGGAGGCATCTTATAAAATAAATTAATATCTTAACGTGTACGAAAGAGAATTGAGAAATTCTTGTGGATAATGAATAGCATCATCTGTTGATGTAACTGTAGCAATACATAGATATTCACCTGAGTGTCCATCGAATTTTATATGGATGATATCATTAATTACTCCTGCTGTTACATTTCTCGGAGAGATAATAGTTCTTTCACATAACCACTGATAAGATTTATTGGACAGATTAAAAATGTCAGGATAAACTGTAGAAATCAACTCTTCCACGTTATTGAACACCCGTCCAATCGTGTGATTGACAGAAATGTAACCATTTTCATTTTCTAAAGTTCCATTTCCAATTTTCAACAACTGTGCTGGAAAAATATCGTCCCCTCCGCATAAATAAGCTCTCATGTTTGTTCGCAAATAAAGTCTTTCAACATAGTTCCATATAGGAGAAGATTTTAAGCAAGCATTAAGGACATCAGTTCGAGTACCTTTAGGGATTACTGGTAAAGTTTGACGGAAATCACCAGCGAAAACAAATGTTATGCCATCCATAAATTTATTATTACACCTAAGATCTTTTAATGTTCGATCAATTGCTTCGATATGTGATCTGTGACTCATTGTACACTCATCCCACACAACGAATGAGGTTTCTCGAAGAATTTTTCCAAGAGGGCCATTTTTACGAATCGGACAAACATATTCTGTATCAAATAATACATTTAACGATAACTTGAAAGTTGAGTGAGCAGTTCTGCCGCCACTAAGGAGAGTTGCTGCTATACCAGATGAAGCTACTGCTAATGCAACTTTACCTGAGGATCTATTTTGAGCCAACAACAAATTAATTAGGAATGTTTTTCCTGTACCACCCGGAGCATCTAAAAAAAAAAACGCTTCCTTGATGATTCATTACGCTTTCTGTAATAACATTAAAAGCATATTTTTGATCATTTACTAATTTTGGTAAATTGATTTCTATAAATTCTTGTAATCGGTTATTATCGTTGGAACGCAAAATTGAGAATTCAAAAGGATCAGATGCATTTTCATTTCGAACAGGTGAGTTCATTCCGAATTCAGTTAAATATTTTTCAGACAGACAAACAACTTTATCTTCTATTTCAATCAAACCTCTATTAAATATTTGATCAGAAAAAGTAAATTGAAAGTCATTTAATCGAGTGCGCTCTGTATGAAGAATATCTTCACAAAAATCATTTCTGAACTGTTCTCACAAAGATTGAGGTTCAGACGGTTGGCAGAGAACTATGTTTATTATGAATAATTCTCTTAATTTGAAGGACTTTCTGAAAGAGTTGCCTTCGCTAGAGCATTTTTCCTTTGCTCGTCATTTTCTAAAAGCCCAAGAGTAAAACAGATAGCTTTAAAAGTCGCATGAATGACTCCATCAAAGGACTTCAAGCTTTCAAATGAAGTAAGACCTTGTACATAATTTAGTAACAATCTTAAATGGAAGCACTCACTTTGATTTGGGTGAATCGTGTAAATTCTACCAATGGTAGTGTCCATTTTTATTCCTGGCCAACCTGGAACATCTTTTTCCCGTCTTCTCTTTAACCAGCCTCTGCTATCATCCCAGGTATAATAAGAAGAAACTTCATGATAGAACAGTGTTTTCGCAAAATCATCATGTGAACACAGTTCAAAAAATGCAGTTAGTGTCGTTTTTCTTGGATTTTCAATAACTTGATGAAGATTATTAGCGTTAAAGAAAACACGCTGTCCATTTTCTAGATGAACAGCCAAGTGCTGAACTGTCGGATTTCTATCATGGATTTCAAAATTGAAAATTCTCCAAAACGCTTCAGTAGTACATATGTATCGACCATTCAAATAATTTGTAATCTCATCGTTTTCATGATAAACAGAAGAAAAAGTAGCTCTATCTGATCCTTTATTAATATATTTACATATGTATTTTATCGCTTTAACCGAATGATAGTATTCTACGTTAAAGCCTTAAAGCACCTAGATAGTATTAGACAATACGGTACAACCCAACGGTTGTCATCCACGATTTCTGTTTGACCACGAACTTTTAATATTGCAGTATAACCTCCATCATCTGGTGATCTCCGTCGGTAAGTCGGATAACCATCATCTCCAGTTTGAGTATCCTTGACCGATTTGTGAGGGTATTTCTTACTACATTTTCCATTATTCATACATCTAATATTTAACTCGCCTCATGGGCCATGAATCATATTCTTGCATACTATTTCATAAAGTATAGGATCTCTGTCTTTGTTTGGTATTTCGACAGAAATAATTTTATCAATTTCATCTGGCTGAATTTTCGTTTGTAACCACAAAAGAATGTGGCAGTGTGGCAAACCTCGTTTTTGCCATTCAACACTGTAAACATAACAATTTACATCTCCGAAAATATATTTATTTTTTAATACAAGCATAAACTTTTTTAGTTTGAGATGAAAAACTCTAGAGATTATATCGTCTCTATCAAACGACTTTTGGTCTTGAAATAATTCATTTTTTATTTCCGACCATTCCGGGTTGCATGTGAAAGTAATAAATAAATCTGGACGGCCAAATTTATGAACATAAGTCATGGCATTCTGATTTTTTTCATGTATGTAATGTGGGAGCCAGTAAAAGAGGAGGGAAGAATTACTTGTTGCCCCACGTTATTAGTATTAATATTTGCATCATTGTTAACAGCATCTTGGAGGTGAACATAATCATCCGCACGTAGTTGTTTTTGATGGTTACGAATAAAGTGTAGTTTTTCAGAAATCATTTTTGCCATCATATCTACGGCGAATTGGCTGAATAATGTTTTGTAATAATGTAGATGATTTAGACTAGTTTCTCTAACCATAAACCTATAAGAATAAAATTGCATGCAGGAGACAGTTTTTGTTCGATTTTAGTTATTTTTCTGTAAAATATTAATGTGATAACCTTCTTCGCCTCTGGTATACATCAATGGATATTGCAGTGCATCATAAGATCTATTCAATTCGGAAACTCGACTCAAGTGTCCACTCCGACCGTGCAGAACTATATCTCTGGGACCTTTATCTTCATTAACTAATAATACAGCTACTTCATCGATGGTAGGTGCATTATATTGACCTCTGTGTTCATCTTGAGGAACTCTGTCAGCATGAATAATTAACTTTAAGTTTTGCAACTCATCAAAAGACCTCGACTCCAGATTACATCTGAAGCTCTGTATGAGGTGATTATTTCCACGCAAAACTGTTTGCAATGATTCAATGAGACCTCTTTTTAAATTGGAATCATATTTGTTCGAATAGATATTTGATCTGACTCTGACATAAAATATATTTATAAAAATTTAGCATTATTTCCAATTTCGGGTAATAAACTACCTATTAAATGATGCACTTGACCCTGAATTTTAAAAGAGGGCATGAAGTTCTCTTCAGCTATTTCGTTTGCTCCAAACAATGTCATTTGAAACAGAGTATTATACCGTCTAGAATTATCAAAGAAATGTTTTGATAGAGGGTGAGAATTATCAATTAAACTTTTAATTAGGTCTGGAAGATTCTCAAATTGGTGTAAAACAACTTAAACGTCAGCGCAGCATAGTCCATGGGTTTCATCTTTCCATTTTTTTGCATGACACTTAAGACATAATATAGTCATTCGTCCAATTTGAAGCGCTATAAATATACGCACAATATAGGTACAATTGTTTTTAATTTTTTATGAACTTTTATGAACTTTTTTACTGACAAAAGTGGTACTAAAACCTTCAACAGAGTGTCGGGTTTCAGCCAAAAAAAAATTTCAACCAAATCGGTTCAGTAGTTTTCTCGGTTAGCGTGGTCGAAGAAAAACCCTTACAATTTTATATATAGTATAGATAGATAGATAGATAGATAGATTGAACGCATTACACCAACTAACTATAAATTTGTAAAAATTAAAGATACAGACACAGACAAAAATACACAATGAGCGATACATACCAGTTTCAAGACTATTCAATGGATAACAGTGGTGTAGATCATAACCAACCGTTAATGAATATGTAATTATTTCCACCATTGTAAAATGTTAATGAAACTAAAGCTCTTTTAGAGTCATGGGATCTAGTGTTTTTGCAGCAAACTTGCATAGGTAAACTGCTGATATGGTTAGCCATTTATAATGTATTTTAATCTTGATTTAATAATTTGTTTAGATAATTACATTGACATAAAAGCTCTAGAAAATATGCAAGTTCATCACATAGAGAAGCTTTTATCATCTTATCCGCTTGGTATATTAATTAAATTTGAGACAAGTCTTAAGTTATGGCAAAAAACACTTCCTCAAAACTCTAATAGTTTTACCAAAAACCACTCATGTGATACATCAACAACATCGTCAACATTATCTATTCCTTAGTCTAGCACATCATTTTGTCTTGAAACAGTATTTGAAAAAAATAGTCAATGTGATTATGTAATTGATTATTATGATCAAAATAATTATTTGAATGATTCATGTAGATCAATAATAGTAAATGCTATTATTAATCATATAATAAAAGAAAAAACACCCATGTCTATAACTTTGGCAAATTGTATAGAAGAAACCATTGTTGCTAAGTTCCCTACTGAAATAAAAGTAAGTATACCTATTCAATAGTTTAAATTAACTATAAATCTAGAATCAATATTAGATTTGTATACATTTTTAATTAATTTAATTTCAGGATATATACTTCATTAAGGACTCAATTAATAGAACACCTAAAGGAAAAATATATTCAAAATATTTTAATACCATCAAACAGCTAAAAAACCATCGACCTCTTGAAAAAACAAAATACTCTAAAGAGATAAATTTACCTACGAGTCGATCATCATCGTCATTTGATGGCATTACAGGTATGTAAATTGCAAATGAAATGTATTTAAAAATTTTTACAATGTAAACTATTCATTTTCAGAAATTGAAGATGTCAGTTTATTGATTTCACAACTGCATCATGAAGTTCTTACATGGCCTGAAATAGAGAATATATGGTTAAAAACTACAAATTATAAATTGAAAAATATTAAAGAGGAAGGCAATGTTTTTTTTAATTGGAAGCACTTTAAAGAACCTATGTGATATAGACTTGTGAGTCAATTATATTACCTACGAAAATGATCATTGCTTTTTATTATATTTCATTATTTCATTAATTTTGTAAATATTAAAATATTTTTCACAGGTTGGTATTGATTTAAAAAAAATGTATCTTTTCTGCAATTTTATTGAAAACGTTGAAAAGTCACAGTCAATCTTGGTGACTATGCTGAAAGAAAAAATAAAAGATCCTGGTTCAAAAAATAAATTAGAAGAAATGTTGAAAACTCCACATCTAACTGAAAGTAAATAATGCAATGTTGAAATATTTACCTATAAAAATGTATTATTTAATAAATAAAACATAATTGTTGATACTTACAAATTAATTAGATTTATATATATTTTTATTTATTACTTTCAAAATTAGCAAGTAAAATATTTCAATAAAAATAAAGGCTTAGCCTACTATTGATTTGTAAAAACGACCAGTTTATATTTTAAAAATCATCATCCGGTATTTACAAAGTAAATTATAAATATACTAATTAGACATAATACATCAACACCTCAAGATTATATTTTACTTTAATGCTAGTAAATTACTACTTATCCAATGATGATTTTCAAAATCGAACGGGTCATTAAAACACATTAAATATATTTCAAACTATTTTTTAATATTATGTTATTATTAGAGTGCTTTTTATTTAAATTGAATAATATTTATGTATTCTTTATTTTTATTAATATATTTTAATTACAATTTTTGTTTGATTTTAGATTGTAAAAATGCTGTTATTTTCTTCCTTCTTCATTCCGTGTTTATTTCAACTGCTAAAAAAACAACCAGAGGTGAAAGTGGTAAAATTAGTTTAAAAAAATTTTCTATTCGAGAATCTCAAAACAGTTTTGTCTTAACTGGAAAAACAAGTGCAGAATTGGAGGAAATTTTGTCAAAGAACACCACACAAATTCAACCATGTCTATTAGTAGTTGGAGAAATTAATAGTCCTAAACAAATCATGGTTTATTTTGATAGCATTAAGTATGTCATTAGTACTATGATAAAAGCAATTGAAATCTGTTTTTCAATTTTTCATGTATTTAACATTGAGTATCTAATAGAATCTGGAAACTGTTGGTTCTTTATCCAACAATATTATTTTAAATTTAAAACTTCATATGATAAACCATGTATACAATGGAATCAAACAATTTTACAACTCAAGGCGATTGAAAAAAATAAAAAATATTAAGTTGTTGAATGCAAATAATAAAGATTTGTAAAAATGTACATTGTTTTAATAATTTACTCCTCAGAAACTCCATATAATGCTCTAATGTATAAGGGTAATGATTTTAAAACATAGAATACATTATTGATTTTATTTATTGGCATTTATAATATTAAAAATTTACTTTTATTTCAATAAATAAAAGTCATAATTAAATTAAATGTATTAATTTAATAAATACATTTTTATTTTAAAAATTGGTTTAGTTAATTTAATAAATACGTTTTTATAAAAAAAAAATTGGTTTGGTTAATTTAATAAATATAACTATGGAATCAATAAATATATGGTAAATTTAATGAATTATGTAGGTAAGATTCTTTCCAGATGTATAAAATACAATTGATAAACTTATAATATTTTTTTTTTAATTCAATAATTTTATTTATTGACTGTGAATTTAATAAAATAAAATTTTTATTATTAACAATTGTGCTAATTAACCGTATTTTAATAATTTTATTATTCAACTCATAGTTTTGTTGATTTTACCTAGTTTTTTGGTTCAGTGTACCCTTTACCATTTCCTTCACAACCTATACTCTATTTATTCTTCCCTTTATATTTTAATCCTGCAAAGTATTCTAATGATAAAATTATTTATTTATTATTTACTTCCAGAAATATTTTTGTTATAATGTATTAATTTTAATTTCCGTAAAATGTAAGTTTTTTTCAAGATAAATATTATTAAATTTACACATTTGTAAAAAAAAAAAAAAAATAAAATAAAAATAAAAAAAAATAATAAAATAAATAAATAAAAATGTTTAATAATTAATAAATATTAAATATATTATAATATAGGTTGTTCACCTTTGGAAAATCAAATTATAGAATCAAACATGATTAATTTATAATTTATTAGATACCACTGGCAATATTTTGTTTGTGGAGTTTTTTACAATGAAGACATAAAATTAAATCTTAAATAAGTACTACTGAATTTGTAAAAAAAAATCACACTTGATTAAATGAAAAAATCTAATGTACAAGTGGCCAAAAACGAATTGTTTATTACAAATGAGACCAGTGCATTTTTTAACTAGTTAACTGGGCGACACAAATGTCGCCCAGTGATTATACTCTGTCAACAGTATTTTAAAAGATTGGACGAAATAATGCGAAACAAACGTGTAATACTATAATCATACTATGGTATTATATATTGACTATTTTGAGAAAAAAATTTTTTGTTGCCCAGTAAAAATTCCTTATAAAATGCACTGAATGAGACTTGCATGAAACAAGATATTACATTTTGTCCATGAGCTAATTTATGTTATAATTATACTTAGGGTAATCAGTGGCGTGCGGTGATATTTTATGTTGGGTAAGCGCTAAAATAAAATTTCAAGTTAAAACAAAAAAA